TGAATTGCTGATGAAGGAGAAAGGTGGCCAGTGCTATGCTGAATTTAATGTAAATAGAAGAAAGCAAACAAATACTAAAGATTCTGAGGCAGATGTTACCAATCCTACCAGAGGTCCTATAAATGAAAGTAAGAATCTGAACCTAAGCATTACATTGTTCCTAACAATCTCTCACACTTTTAACTCAAGAAAAAATTTATAATGGGATTAAAAAAACTAAATGGTTCCATTTTAGCCCTTTATTTTTACAGATGAACAACTGATTGCTATGAAGATTAGCTGACTTGCCCAAAATCACATACTCATAAGTAGCAGTGTCCTCTGACCTATATTCTGTACTCTTTCCACTACATGCTTTTGCTTCTATTGCATATTATATTTATATATATTGTATATCCATAATATGAGTTACTCTCAGAAGGATCCCATGGAGACTGAAAGGTGACAATTATATTTCTTTCTTTTATGCCAGATGCAGAAAGTGATGTAAAGACATGTTAAAGGCTCCACTCAAAGTCACACAGGCAGTAAGTGGTAGAACAAGGATGAGCACCCAGGTCTCTCAGCTGCATATTCGCTGCTCTTTCCCTACCTTGCCTTGCCTGATGACTACATTGACCTTTTGACTGGGATAGCGTCCTTTCTAAGATTTGTGCCTTGGAGCTTCCATTGTTTTCCTGGAATGTTACCTTTTTAGGGTTCTGGGGTACTAATGTCATTAAATAGACCTTAGACTAACTTAGAAGATGTGATAACTGGCACAAGTTGGTTCTGTCACTGAAAGGAGATGGGAAATTGAACAAGCCACTTTTCCTTTTGGGCTTCAGTTTCCATATTTAAAAAATTAGGAGACTAGCCTGGGGGATACTTGGGCTACAGAGCACTGTCCCGATAATACTAAGTTCAGGAGGACAGTGGGGTTTAGAACCTCAATTATCCCTTGTGGATATCCTTGGGACCTCCTGCCACAACTGAGAGCCCCTGACAGAGAATCAGCAGAGAACAATCAATGTAGAAGAAATTCCAGGAAACACCTCAGATGGGAGGCAGATTTGAGGAGTCTTCATAGGCCTCTGCATCTATGGTAAGGCAATGTGATATCACAGAAAGAGATGTAGACTTAGCAAAGAACCAAAAGATGAAACACAGCACCTACCTTTTGCCACTCCCATTCCCTTCACTGGTGGGGCCAGCAGGAACATTTATGAAGGTCTAGCTGAGCTTTCCTTAGGATATGAAGCTTTAGGTGGACAGGTTCCATGAGTATGGGCTGTTACTATCTGTAGCATCCAGGATAGCCTCATGTACTTTGGGATCCTCAGATACTGACATTGGAAGAATCATTTTATTTCCATTTTCATTCTTCAAAGGCAGAGGAATTTGGCAGTCCCATGGGCTGTTTCATCCCCTTGTTTTTCATAAATGTATAAACAAGAACGAAATTCATCAAAAGAAAGTCAATTTACTTGGTAAGACCATCTCTAAATTTCCAGCTCCAATAGGTTACATTTTTAAAAAGTTAATTTATTTTTATTTAACATTTATTATCTCTCCCTCTTACTGCCCTTCCTAATTTAAAACAATTTGAATGAACAATTAAAAAACCCTCATAACAAATATGCATAGTGCAACAAAATCAATTGTCATGTTGGCCTTGTCATCTTGTAAGAAGTAGGTGCTGTGTTTCTTCTTTGTTCCTTTGGTAAGTCTACATTTCTTTCTGTGATATCACATTGCCTTACTATACAGAGGCAGAGGTCTCCAATTTCCCTATGATCCAGCAATATAAAATAGTGTTTGCAGTTGCAATTCTCTATTGGTATAGGAACTCCCAAAGAGAAAAGAAATAATACTCACCTTCTAAAGCAAGACTGGAAGTGCTGTGGGGATTGTAATATGACAATTTCCTCCCAGGAGACAGTGAGAAGAATTCTCTCTAATTGCCTTCAGGGTAAATTATAATGAATTCATGAAGACTTCACAAATTAATGAATCTTTAGGAGGAATTTAGTGGATGAGAGACACATGCTGCCTAGTAAATAGGCATAAAGAAAAGCAAAAGGATACATGTATGGAAAATTCTTTTTTATCTGTAATTTCAACAGCTAGAGAGCTCAAACAGTTTCATTTTCCTTTGTCATCTACAGTATAAAATGATAGCTGATATTTTCTACTACTGGTCCTTAAGTGAATCATCAAATAATTTCAATTATGTTTCAATTATGGTTTTCATTGCAGTATATCTTGGTGTATTCTAATTTTATAAAAACTGGTAATACATGATGGCATATTTATAATCACTTTCAGGTAATCAAGATACAGGTACACTCTATAGATTGTTATTTCAGCAAAACATTTTGTAGTAACCTAATTAATAGGTTGTAACCAAACCCCACCATGAAGTCTCAAAAATCTAATGTAATGTGCCAGTGTGTCAACTGTTTCTTTGGAACTCTCTTGTAATGCTACTTTGCCTGTGTTAGAAAGGGCTTAGCAGTATTGAGTCGTCTAGATCATCCTGTTTCTTGAATAGGAAGGAATTTGTTATTGTTCACATGACACGAAACTGAACAATGAGGGCCCAGTCCTTGGAGCATGAACATTTGATGAGCCTGTTTCTAGAAGTGCATGATGTGGAATGGATGTGTCCAGTTCTCCACTTAAGAACATGTGCAGTTATATTCTGGGGCTCTTTCCTGTCTGCTCACTGATCAGTGGTGGGTGAAGGCCATTCGGTTGGCTGCTGAGTCAGAAGTGAGAGTGTATGTGAAAGGCCCCAGTGGAGAAACTCATTCTCTTTCCTTCCTACTAGATGCAATGTGTAATGACTCCGAGCTTCAGAGGGCCCTGAGATATAGGCTTGCCACCAGACACATATATATGGCTCCAGGACTGGTCGCTCATCAAGTCTTCCCATTACATTGAAAATAGGAGGGCATATCTTCAGCCAGAGAAGAAGAAAGATTAGAGGAGACATATAAACTGGACCAGGAGCAAGGAGACATGTAAACTGGACCAGCAAAGCAGCATTTGAGAAATAGAGAACATATGGACAGTAGCATTTCCAAAGAGGACATAATTGTTAATCTTTCATATGTTTCTTCCCACAGATATTCTGAGCCTCATCCTTGTAGGGAGAACTGGGACTGGGAAGAGCTCAACTGGGAACACCATTATTGGGGAACATACTTTTGAAGCCAAACTTGCTGGAAAATCAATCACTAAGACCTGTCAGAACAAGAAGAGAACCTGGAAAGAGAAGAGTATTATAATTGTTGATACTCCATCCTTTGACCTTACCCTGGCTAGTGAAGATCTTTCTAAACAAAAGGAAGAAGTCATTCATAGCCTATACCTATCTCAAGGACCCAGGGTTTTCATTCTGGTGATTCAGCTGGGCAGGTTCATTCAAGAAGATGAGAAGAGCATTAGGGAACTAAAAACCATATTTGGAGATGAGATCACTGAGTACATGATTGTGCTCTTCACCAGGAAAGAAGATCTAAGTACTACTGGGACACTGGAGAATTACATCAAGGCTTTAAATAATAAACCTCTTAAGAAGCTAATTAAACAGTGTGGAGGAAGAGTTTGTGCTTTTAACAACAAAGAAAGTGGTCCAGCTCAGGAAAATCAAGTTAATGAGCTCTTGGAAATGGTGGATAAACTGGTCCAGAGTCATGGAGGTCAAGGCTATCCTGCCAGTGATAAACCTGAGACTTATACCAGAAGGATTAAAGATTTCCAGAGGAAAAAATTATTCAAGACAAGAGACAAATTGGTACACAAGAACAATTTATTTTTTCTGTAATCCAGTTAGTTCTTGCTGTGCCCGATGACCCGTAAAAGTAAGGAGTGCCTCAGGACATCTGGAGAGGGTATTCTTGGGGACAGTCAGATAGATGGATGTATTGGTTTATTATAATGCTGGGGTGTGGCTAGCAGCAGATTGTAAATTGAGGGTGAGAAATTGAAGCAAGTTTTGAGGAAGCAGGCTAAGGGTCAAAACAAGGTTGTGAATTGCAGTTGGGTAGGTAAATTGGAAAGAATCTGGACATGCATGAAATTACAAGTGGCAAGGCAGTAACTATTTGAAAAGGACTCAAGTATCAGAGAACCAACCAAGGAGGGAGCAGTACAAAGTCCAGGGAGACAATCAAGAAGGAAGAGATACACAGGTGTTTTCAGGGCAAGGGAAAGTGAGCAGAGGGACAGATCTGAGGCACCAATAACAAATACTTTGATTATAGAGACTGATTTTTCTTCTTCAAGTTGAGAACTGTTCTATGGGGGCTGGAAATCATCACAATACAGCTGGCTTAGACCAAGAAAATCATAGGGAACACTTAGTCAATGTGGCAAGTGTGTGGACAGAGAAGGGCATCACCTTCTGGAAGGAAAATCTTAATATAAATAGATATTTTGATTCCTCTTTTGTGTTGGGCTATGATATATATTAGCATAACCTGTGACTCAAAGTTCATTTGCATAAGACTCTGTTCTTTGGTGGAGATAGATTACTTAATGCTACACATCTGCATGAAGGATAGAGTTGGTGAGAGCTTGGGAGAAGAGAGAACGTGTCTTGCTTCCAGTTTCAAGGGAAGAAGACATGGGATTGCAGCCTCCTTAGAGGTCTCTGACGGGAGAGAAAGACTGGGAAGAAGTTGACGTGTAGAGGACCTGGCAACTTCTATCATGTCAATGTCCCCAGTTTGCTACACTAGAAACTTTGGGGAATTTCCCATTGAGTGAGATCTGAGACTCTCTCTCTCTCACTCTCTGTCTCTCTCTCTCTGTCTCTGTATCTCTGTCTCTGTGTCTCTCTCTGTCTCTGTCTCTCTGTGTCTCTGTCTCTGTCTCTCTGTCTCTCTCTCTCTCTGTCTCTCTGTCTCTGTCTCTCTCTCTCTCTCACACACACACACACACACATACATACACACACACACACACACACACACACACACACACATTATCTAACTCCCAATGGGAAAGCTCAGTTACTCAAATTGTGTGTCATATGTTTTCATATGTATATTTTCTCTGATTTCTATTTGCTATCAGCTTAGATAGCCATCTTCTTTGTGTGTTCTTTGTGGAACAGGTATTTGGTGGGAAAAGAGTCAAGCTTTTGGATATGTAATTTGGAAAACTCTTTCCCTGTTAAATGATACCAACAGGGATCTTAGCTTGAAACTAAAAATAATTTTCTATAGACTAAACATATTTTAGGGGGAGATAAATATAGATGTAGCCCAGTGATATTTTTCTGAGAAGAGCAGAGTGGCCAGCCTCTGGCCCCAAACCTCTTGCTCCTCTCCTGGCAGAAATCAAAGGGATATATTTAGAGATATCTATTCCATTTTGTGATAGATAAGAGGGAAAAGCTTTGCTGGTAGAGTTCCCCTCCCTTTCCTTAGTATCTTCTTGAGACTTATCAACATTTCAAGACAATTGTCATAGTTAGGGTGTGACACAAATTAAAGGGGCAAATGAGGAGGGATTCATTCTTGTTTCTCTAGCCTCAGTAGAAGGTTCTGCTTAGTCAGGGAGGGGAGCACTCTGCCTGTACCCCAAGGCAGGGAGAAGGTGAATTGAGTTCAGTCTGACTCAGCCAAAAGTAATGGTTGGGGGCTTTCCATTTAGAGGAGTAATTAATGAATCATAACCACCTGAGCAACATCGCATGGGCGGTGATGCTAGGTAAAGTGAAGCCAAGCAAGCAAAGACAGAGATGAAAGTGTATTGACCAACCACAAGGAATGTGGCCTGGGTGGTCTCACTCAGTGGAAGCAAGGACACTTTTCCAAAGCTATATAGAGCAGGATCACCAAAGAGCTCTTAGGGCCTCAGCCCTTATCTTAATCTTAATTCAGTGAGTGGTACTTAAGAAGCTAGAGAAAGGGCAGAATGAAGGGGATGTGGTGGATGGCAGTAGCAGTGCAGTGGAGAAACACAAGAAGACAGCTGTGGAGGTAGAGAGTGAAAATAGGGTACAGCTTCAGTAAACGACAGCTGCAGATGGAGAGCTCCAGTGGATGATGTCTGCAGGGGACAACATTTCAGGAGGTGACAATGGTAAAGGTGATAAGCAGTGGCACAGGGCAGAACTTCAGAGGATGACAAAAGCAGAGTTGAGCAGCAAGAGGGAGGAAGCTCTGGGACCACAGGAAGCAGCATCAACACCAGAAGGGAGGCATCACCAGATGCTGGGAATATAGAGTCATCTGAACTCAACTTGTAGAGATTTTCTTCTGTGAAGCAAGGTAGATGGCATTGATACCCTAACTCCTCTCAGACCATGAGTTTTCCTGCAGATTTTTTTCCCTTCTCCACACTGGCACCCCTATAGGTCTGTAGAATATTATGTTCATTTATGTATGGGGACTGATACTGATTTGTGTATGGAATATGACAACAAATTAATACATGTTTTTTTTCCTGTTATTTTTTTTGTTCCCCTAGGTAACAGTTATGGGGGTTAGGCTGGAAGCAGGATCTGGGGGACCAAGGCTGGTTTTTGGCTCTTAGGCTTACTTGGAGAAGAAACCACACTATGAGCCCCCAGCTTCCCAGAAATGACTAAATGAAGCCTCACTAGAAACCAAACCAAGTGGGGTGCAACCCCAATCTTCCTTGCCCAAAGCCACTTGTTCTGATTGCTAGCATCTGCCTCCCTTGCCTCTACCCATTGGCTTCCAATCTACCATTGCTGTTTCTGCCTTCCTGAGCAAGGCAACATTGTTTAGGGCTAGTCTGAATGAGATTTGGACTGAGTATTCCCTATTATATCTCTCAAGAAACTTGAGAGGTATTCAATGTGTGGTGTGGGAATCAGAATAGGAAATGAATTGAGTGAAGTAACTAAGTGTATATATTTTTTGAAGAAAAAAATGTAGTTTGATTGACCAAATATTGAGCGTCTTTCTATTCTTTAGAAGGTATATATTAGTTTTGGCCACTTTTTCATATAATAACTAAGTTGCTTGAAGTCAGGAATTCAATAAAAGTACTCCTGATAAACTCAACAGTGTCATGTATCATTTATAGAACTCAATGTAATAAAAATTGTGATGAATAAGGCAAACATGGACAAAAGACTCAGAAAAATGGAAACTAAATAATATTACCCTAGAGAATAAGTGGGCCAAAAAAAACCCCCCACAGAAACAAAGCTGAAAATAAATTAAATGAAAATATATAAAAATACAACATACCAAGATTAACAAAACATGAAATATAGAACTTAACTTCAGAAAAGAAGTTTGAGCAAGCCATAAATAAATTTCTAAAAAATGAAATCCTAGACCAGATAGATTTACAAATGAGTTCAACGAAATATTTAGAGAACAACCACCCACCTTACCATATTCTGTAAGTTGTTCATAAAAATAGAGAAAGACAGTAACTTATCACACTCCTTCTATGAGGTTATGCCTCCTGATCACCACTTGAAGGAGGCAACTGGATTGTATAGTGGATAGTGTATTGGACCTGGAGTTAGAAAGACTTGAGTTCAAATCCTGCTTTCAGACACTTACTAGTTGTATGATCCTGGGCAAGTCAGTTGATCTCTCTCAGCCTTAGTTTTCTCAGCTATAAAATGAGGATTATAATAGCACCTAGCTTTCAGGATTGTTGTGAGGATCAAATGACACAATATGTGTAAAGTACTTTGTAAACCTTCAAGCCTTATATTTATTATTATTAGCTTTATTGATAACTATTGTTACAATAAAGCAGAGAAAGAAAACTATTCTACAGTATCACTAATGAACAAAGACGCAAACTTATTAAATGAAATACTAGTGAAAAGGTTACAGCAGTATTAGTAATACTAGGTCAGAGCTGTATCAAGAATGCAAAGATGGGGGCAGCTAGGTGACTCGGTGGATAGAGCTCTGGCCTTGGAGTCAAGAGGACCTGAGTTCAAATCTGGCCTCAGACAATTGACTCTTATTATTTGTGTGACCCTGGGCAAGTCACTTAACCCCATTGCCTAGCCAAATAAAATGTGAAGATGGTCTGACATTAGGAAAACCATAAATATAATAAGTTATATTTATAATGAAAATAATAAAAATCCCATTATTTCAATAGACATGGAAAAAAGACAAACATAGAAAAAGATATAGTGCTCTTTGGTGTTTGAAAAAACATGCTAAAATAAATAGGAATAAAAGGACATTTTTATAACATAATAAAAAATATTTAAAATCAAGAGCTGTGGGACAGCTAGGTAGCACAGTGTGTAGAGCTCTGACCCTGAGTCAGGAGAACTTGAGTTCAAATCCGGCCTCAGACACTTGACACTTACTAGTTGTATGACCCTGGGCAAGTCACTTAACCCTGATTGCCTCACCAAAAAATAAAATAAAATCAAGAGCTACATTATTTCTGGAGAAATAATGGCAAAATGCTAGAAACTGTACCAACAAGAGCAAAGGTAGATAAAGGATGTTCATTGTTTCCACTGTCACATGCTTTAGTTCTGGAAATTTTAGCTGTAGCAATATGATAGACATAAGAACTGAACCCGTGATTTCATTGCTTTAGAGAATTCCTGAATGAGGAAACTCCCTCTAACAATATAGATTAGCACTTTCTTGGCAATCTGTAGTCTCAAGTTACCTAGAGCCCTGAGAGGTTAAGTGATTCGCTCAGGGTTACTCAGCCATTTTGAATTGAACCCAGGTTCTCTTGCCTTTGAGGCCAGCATTCTATATACTATATTACATTATTGCAATAAGATAAGAAAAATGGATTGAAAGAATCAGAACAGGCAAAAAAGGAGGAAAAATATTTTTATTTGTAGATAAAGTGATGGTTTATTTAGAGAACCCTAGAGAATCGACAGAAAGTTAAGCAAGGGGGGGGGGGCAGAGCCAAGATGGCAGAGGGAAAGCAGTGACTTGCTAGAGCTCTCCCCCAAATCCCTCCAAATCCCTACAAAAAATGGCTCTAAACAAATTCAAAAGCAGCAGAACCTACAAAAATACAGAGTAAAAAAAATTTCCAGCCAAAGACAGCCTGGATGGCTGATCGGAAAGGTATATCGCGCTGGGCTGGGAGAGGAGTGCAGTTCACTGGCAGCTGTGGCGTTTTCCAGACTTCTCAACCCATGAACGCAAAAGACAACTTAGAAGGTCAGTGGGAAAAGTCTGTGACTGCGGTGAGAGAAGAAGCTAGGTCTCAGTCGCAAGTCTCAAGCATGGACTCTGGGGCAGCAGCTGCCTCCTGAGCTTCTGGCCCACAGACTGAGAGGGAATTGAGTGACTGATTGCAGGGGGATTGCAGGGATCTCTTTGCCAGTGCTGAGGCAGGAATCCCTTGCTTTACCGGTGCTTGAATCTGGGTTACAGTTCTGCAGGGTGGTCCTGGGGTGAGGAGGAGCGCTGGTGTGGTGGAGGTTGTTGTGGCTGTGGAGAGGAAACACCTCGCCCCTTGTCATACCACCTTGGAAGAACTGACACTTTTCAGGTCCCTAGAAGTATCTCTGAAAACAGCTGTACAAACCCCCAAAGCTTGGGACAGTACATTCTCCACATTGGAAACAGACTCTTACCTTAACAAAGAGTTTAAAACTCAAGTAATTGGTTGGGATCATGAGCAAGCAACGCAAAAAGAGTCAGACTATATTATCTTACTTTGGTGACAAAGATCAAAACATACAACCAGAAGAAGAAAACAAAGTCAAAGCTCCTACATCCAAAAATTTCAAGAAAAATATGAATCAGTCCCAGGCCTTGGAAGAGCTCAAAAGGGATTTTGAGAAGCAGGTAAGAGAAGTAGAGGAAAAACTGAGAGTTTTACAAAAAAGTCATTAAAAACAAGTCAATGCCTTGCTAAAGGAGACCCCAAAAAATACTGAAGAAAATAACACCTTAAAAAATAGCCTAACCCAAATGGCAAAAGAGGTCCAAAAAGACAATGAGGAGAGGAATGCCCTAAAAAGCAAAATTAGATGAATGGAAAAGGAAGTCCAAAAGATTACTGAAGAAAATACTTCCTTAAAAATTAGAATAGAGCAATTGGAAGCTAGTGACTTTATGAGAAATCAAGACACTGTAAAACAAATCCAAAAAAATGAAAAATTAGAAAACAATGTGAAATATCTCACTGGAAAAACAATTGACCTGGAAAATAGATCCAGGAGAGAGAATTTAAAAATTATTGGACTATCCGAAAGTCATGATCAAAAAAAGAGCCTAGACATCATCTTTCAAGAAATGATCAAGGAAAACTGCCCTGATATTTTAGAACCAGAGGGCAAAATAGAAATTGAAAGAATCCACTGATCTCCTCCTGAAAGAGATCCCCAAAGGAAAATTCCTAGGAATATTGTAGCAAAATTCCAGAGTTCCCAGGTCAAGGAGAAAATATTACAAGCAGCCAGAAAGAAACAATTCAAGTATTGTGGAAACACAATCAGGATAACACAAGATTTAGCTGCTTCTACATTAAGGGACCAGGGCACGGAATATAATACTCTGAAGGGCAAAGGAGATAAGATTACAAACAAGAATCACCTACCCAGCAAAACTGAGTATAATTCTTCAGGGGAAAAAAATGGTCATTCAGTGAAATAGAGGACTTTCAAGCATTCTTGATGAAAAGACCAGAGCTGAATAGAAAATTTGACCTTCCAATATAAGACTCAAGTGGAACATGAAGAGGTAAACAGGAAAGAGAAATCACAAGAGACTTATTAAGGTTGAACTGTTTACATTCCTGCATGGAAAGATGATATTTGTAACTCATGAGACCTTTGTCAGTATTAGGGTAGTTGGAGGGAAAAAATTATATGTATGTATATATATATGTACATATATATATGTAGATAGATAGATAGATGCATAGATAGATAGATAGAGGACACAGGGTGAGTTGAAGATGAAGGGGTCATATCTGGAGAATAAAATTAAGGGGTGAGAGAGGATTGTACTAGGAAAAGGAGAAAGGGAAAAGTAGACTGGAGTAAAATATCTCACAAAAAAAAACCAGAAAAAAAAGGCTCTTACAGAAGAGGGGAACTGGGGGAAGGTGAGAGGAAATGAGTGAGTCTTATTCTCTTGAGATTTGATTTAAGGAGGGTATAACATAACACACTCAATTGGGTATGGAAATCTGTCTTACCCTACAGGAAAATAGGAGGGGAAGGGGACAAGAGAATAGGGGGATGATAGAGAGGAGGGCAGATTGGGAAAGGGGCCAATCAGAAGCAAATACTTCTGAGGAGGGACAGGGTCAAAAGAAAGAATAGAATAAATGGAGGAGTGGTTTATTTCAGTATTTTATTTCCTCTTCTGTTAATCTGGGCAATTTGTATTTTTGTAAATATTCATCCATTTCACTTAAATTGTTAGATTTATTGGCATAGAGTTGGGTAAAATAATTCCTAATTACTATTTTAATTTCTTCTTCATTGGTGGTGAATTCACCTTTTTCATTTTTGATACTGATAATTTGGTTTTCTTCTTTCTTTTTTTTAAATCAAATTAACCAAAAGTCCATCTATTTTACTGTTTTTTTATAAAACCAGCTCTTAGCTTTATTTATTAGTTCAATAGTTTTCTTAACTTCAATTTTATTAATTTCTTTTGATTTTCAGAGTTTCTAATTTGATATTTAATTGGTGATTTTTAATTTGTTCTTTTTCTAGCTTTTTTAGTTGCATGCCTAATTCATTGATCTCCTCTTTCTCTATTTTGTTCATTTAAGCATTTAGAGATATAAAATTTCCCACAAGAACTGCAAAAAAAAAGAAAGTTAAGCAAGGTATTAATTGCTTCAGTAAAATTGCAGTATACAAAATAAATCCATATAAATCATCAACCAATGAGTATTGTTACCAATAAAACCCAGTAAAGGAAGAGAAATTCCATTTCTGATAAAAATTCACTAGATGTCTGTGACAGCTAATACACATAAGATTTATATAAATGTAACTATAAAACATTTTTATAGAAAAGAAAAAGATATGAATAATTTTTAAAATATTCAATGTATATTGCTAGACCATGCCAAT